CCTTTGCATCATCGACCAAGTAATAACGTTAAAAAGTCCGATTGCGTACGTTTTTCAAAGTGATAATGTATATTTTTCTTAATAATAAAATCATATTTGTTGTATTTATTTATTGACAATTCAATCTTTTCCATTTCTGCTATAATAGTCGCTTTTAATTCAATTTCAACGAACTACCACCAACGCCAGTCGTTAAAATGAGCGAACATGTTTACGATGACGAAATAAAAACAGTCGTTAAAATGAGAGCAACTTATTTGACACCGCGAAGCTAGATTTTCGCGAAGTGCATGTAAACAACACAATTGAGCGATCTAAAAACTACAAAACAGGACAGAAAGGTCCATAAAGTATACATACGTTTTAATGAAAATGTAAACAATATTTTGTTAAATGGAAGAATGCTAGCTAGCGATTAAAATAATTCGTTTTTTATCGAAGGTAAATGTAGCTAGGGCCTAGAGAATCTACTACTTAGATTGCGATAGAACACGCTGCTGCACTGTCGTTCGTACTGGTCGGCTAGGTTAGGTAGTGGAAACTCACACCTTCTCTACAGTAGTTTACAATTTTTTTTGAACGAATACCACTTGGTACTAGAGGTTCGTAAAATACAGTAGATGTTTTATTAAACAAGCCTTTCCACCGTGTGACGTCGACGACCTGAAACTGGCTGGCTGTTTATCTGGCTCTTAACTTGGCATCGAACGCAATTAGGGGATTATCGTATCATGTTTCAAGACGGGTATATCCAGATAAAGTTCGACGTGAACCAGGCTGTTGAATGATTAAAAATACAGCATTTCGTCAGGAGGTATGTAAAATATGAACATATAATCATTGTTGCTGCGAAGCAGCCAATTCATATTCTTGACAGCAAATTGACCTCTGAAAGGTCATTGTTTGTCAAAAAACAAGGGCCTAAGACGACTGAAAAGCGGAGTTTCCTTTCGTTCTGCGGGTAAAATCAATTACATTAGGCGACGTTTGTAGACTAACCTACACGTACCAACGTCCGCATGTCGCGCTAGCCTTATCCTACCCTAGGCCTAGACTAGCTAGGATAGTATAGACCTAGCCTTGAAGGGACGAATGTCCCAATGAAAAACAACGTCGCTCCTTGATAGCTAACATTGTCTATTTAACATCATCAATAATTCATTATTAGACCTATAGTTGTTTTTGAATGGTACTCCACAAATCTCAGCCCATACCTCATACAACTCGTTTACGTCTCGTATCTATTGTCGTGACGTCATGGCTCGCTGGCTCACGCTTGTGATGTCTCGCACTTGTGATCAAATAACACACTGGCTCGCACTTTGGCAACACTCTTTGGCAGTCAACTCGCCCCTAGAAAACCCGCCCTTGGAAACTTGCCCCATAAAAAATGTACACTTCCTTGACCATGGAGTCTTCAAAATAAAAATTGTAACCTTTGGTAATCAACTACATTTTCCACATAATAGAAATTTTTGAAAATGTATTTAAAAAAACCTAAACCATAATTCACCACTATAGACACCTACTGACAAAATGAAAAATTACGACTTTGTTACCCAATGAGAAGTGTTCTAATATAGACAATGGGTCGTGTCTCATATTATTTGTTATATTTTTATTATTCATTATTTTCACTTGACTCGCATAAATAATTTTGTTCGAAGAACATTTATATGCAGTTGTAATTCGCAGCACTTCACTTGCAATTTGCAATTTCTAGTTTATATTATACAGGAGTAACCTCATGATATATGTTAGACTAGATGAGGTTTTGTGTATTAAGGGATGTTTTTGTTTTGATGGTATCCTTCATCCGAAGCCTATCTTCTTGTTGAAATGTCATCATAAATGTAGGTAACCTTGCCTAGGGTGCAGCTAGGTCGCCGTAGGGCAGGCTAAGACTCTTTCAAATTAATCTACTGTAATCAGATATTCAGATTCAGATGGCCGGTTTTTCCACTAGGCCAATTTATTCGCGCGAATCGAAAGCGTCGTTCTTGCGCATGCGCATCAGTTTTCTATCGACGTTTTCGCTTCAGCGAAATTGGTAGTTCCAACAGTAGAATGTATAATTATGGAGTATAGGCCTGATGCTTAGAGTGAAAGTCAGCTCATATACCATAAACTGTTGTTTTCTTTTGCGCAAGTTTTTTTCACGCCTCACTGAGTATTCATTACATTTTCACTTCAGGTTGGGAATTACACCTATACCAGTTTTTCTTTACTATATATTTATCTAACTGCTTGTGTCAACATTATAAACAACAATCATTGGCGGGTCTCGTACTTTCCACCAAATTCGTGCAGATTAAATCATTACCATACTAATTAATGATCCTAAGAGCGGATTCAGAGCTTACGCCAACTATCCCACAGAGGTGTCCATGTGACTGATCAGACCATCTGATTAGGCAGATACTAAGCTTCTATCTGACTTAGAATGCTTGATGGTGATGATACATGGAATTACCAGAAGACTAACTTTCTACAAGATATTTAAGTTATACCTCCAAGCGAGCGCAGGATTAATGGATGACTATTGACCAGATAGACATTGTTGAAGAAATACTTATTATTCAAGAAACTTTTTTTAAACGTGTGTGGCGTTATTTCTGTTTAAAATATTTTGTAGTGCTTATTTATCTGAAAAAAAAAATGACATTGAATAAATTCAAGGGACACGAAGTTATGGCTTTTGAAATATATTCATGTTGTTGGCCTAGTGTACGCCTAATTAGAAAATATTTACTTCTCAAACTACACAGAAACACCTGAACAATATCAATCAAGATGTAGATGTACATATTATTTCAAAGGCATTTTATAGTGCATTCATTGTGCTATGATACACTGCAAAAACGGTAGAGTACGTTTGTCTATAGCGAGGAACAATCTAGTCTTTGCATAATTTCTTTTATTATATTCAACTTTTATTGTCAAACAAAATGAAAATGATAATATAAATTGGCAATGGGATGATAAAAACAATTATTTCTCTAATCGTGTTTAAACCCATTTTCTATAGATATAACACGAATACAACTAAAGAGCGAAAAAAAAACCCCCATAAAAATAAAGGTATATGCGCAGCGTAATTAAACAACATTCTTCAATTAGGGCCTGCTAAGTCATAGGGATCTCTTGAACTCCCAATGCTTCAAATAGGTCTCGGCGCTCATACACAGCGGGAGCTCCCACTGCTTTTGCACCGTCATTTGTAAAAAAAAAAATATTTTTGTCTTTACATCGCCATAACTCATGAACTACTACTCCGATTAAAAATTGCCTCACACTACACAAAGCTTAACTAATACTGAACATTATGATATATATATTTAATTAAAAAGCTAAAAATAAAAACTCCGTCAAATTTGGTTTTAAAACAACTACTTTGTCAACCGCCAACAGCGTACAGGCCACATTTTCGTCTTATTTTGTAAGAGGCCACGTTTTAAATTCATCATTGTCGTCACTTAGAGGGTAAGTACACAAAATTGCCTCCCGCTACACTAAAGATGAATATTCATAGTTTCTATCCATGTAATTTTTGTTCTGATTTGTTGAAAAAAACCCCGTCAAAAATATGATTTGCAAAAGAATGAAATGCCGAAATCCCTCAATATCGCGCGAACATTCAGATAGCAGAATTCCTGTTTGTAGCTGTCTTGGGAAGACGTGTTGGCCGAACTGCAGGTAATTCTTCGTTGAATTCTCTGTTTTTTGTTTTTTTGCGAGTATTGCAAAAATTTAATATCTGACAGATTTAGTAGTCTATAAGAAACAATTATTGACTAATAATAATTTCAATTTTGTGTTATTTATTATGATATTGTTCGTTTAAAATAGCTAGGTTGAAAACATGTGGCGTCCATGCCTTTAAAAAAAATGGAATTCACCATTATCATGGAGAGTTGAATTGTGTTACTTGCAGATAGACTGTGCAAGTACAGCAATGGATACATTAGGCTAGATTTAAATTATAATTTTTTTTTCTGTACATCAGGTCACGTTATGTACATTTTTTCTGTATTATTAAAACCAACAGTCTGTATTACTATTAATGTTCTTTATTTTGTCTTCAATTTTCAATACAATATTTCAATTACTGTAATTTAAATATATCATTTTATCTATAGGCTACACATATTTTTTTCTGTTTTTGACATCTTGGACAATCATCAACACCATATGAGTTTGAATTCTTAAAAGTTATTGGTACTTGCTATACAAATGCTGGCCTGGGTGGAAGGCATAGGGAAAGCTCAAAATAATGTATTGTATTGAAAAAAAGATGGGTACAATAGACCTAGGTGGTTCTAAATTGAAACAAATAAGCAAATGTACTGTACTTGTTGGTGGGGATTCATAAATTAGAAAATATACAAGTAATAAGTTTTATCTTAATTTTATTTCAGTCATGAATCTACGAAATAAGGAGAAACCAAATTATAAAGTTTTGAATGAAGGAAATTGTAAGGTTTCCAGAAAAAGGCTTCATCCAGCAACCTGGCCAACCTCATCATTGTATGATGAGGTTGACCAAGTTGAAATATTTGTATAAAATTAAAATATAGCCTTAACAAATTTATAAATATATACATACTGCTTTTCTATGTATTTTTAAAACCCAACAAATGGAAGATTTACTTTTGTGTAAGGACAAGAGCGGGGCCAGCGATACAGTAAAACACGATAGCATCATGGACTCCAGTATGGACTTCTTTTGTGTATTTCAAAATTAAGAAAATATATAAAACTACAGTATAGAGGTACAGTAGGCCTGGAATGTTTTTTTTTTTCAAAACTCTTCAACAACACAGTCATCAAGAAGGGTGCTTTGTCAGACTCTATCCAGCCTATAGCTTAGGCCTCTATAGGCCTGGCCTAGGCTTCGTATTAGGAGAGTATGAGCCGCTAGGCTAGGCCCGCCCCCTACCTACATTATTGGGACATAGGACATAGGCTTGAGGAGGCTCAAGTTAGGCCTAGCCCAGTCTGCCTAAGTAGTAGGGTTGAGGATTAGAGTATATAAATATGTAGGTGTATACTGCCCCGTCAGGGCTGGATAAGTCCGGCTCTATGCAACTTGCGATTGAAGGCATTAACATGTTACAGACATAGGCACTAGTCTGGGCTGGTCTCTATGGCTCCAGCCAGTTAATCCTGGCATATTGGTAGGGTAGGGTCCTTTCTTTTCCGGGGGCTGAGGTGATTTGTTACTGTAGCTTCAAGTAATTGTTTCGTACGGAAGCACCTAAGTGCCATTCGACTTGACGACTTGTCAAGATAATTTATGTTGTCAAGTCGACATAATATACATATCATGTCTCTTATACACATCT